CACACACACACACACACACACACACACACACACACACACACACACACACAAACTCACTCAGAGACACACAGCGATGTAAAGCAAATCTTTTTAAGAAACTTTACCTTAAATAATTAAATAAAACTTTGTCTAAATGATTCCATGCAATACAGATTTTTCTGCCACTTCAACTTATACTTTTTAATTTTCTTTCTGTGTTACATATTTGGCTCGAGGCCCTTTGTTTTTGGTGACACATGTTACCTGTCTATACAGACCACCACAATAATGTCTGCTTATAATTCTTCAGTGCTGCACAAGAGGCTACAGTAAACATCCTCACAGACGGCTCCTCTCTCATGTGTGTAGCCTTCTCTCTATGGCAAAACTGTAACTATCTTAGTTTGAATCATCTAGAAAACAGAGCCCGAAGCCAGGATTAAGTTATTGACATATTGCTTAAGAGGCACAAGCCTGGGGCAGCCACCATTAAAAAAATACACAGCCTGAGCAAGAAGATAAAAAAAAATACATCTAATGATACAATGCCCAACTGCACTGTGCTGGCCACTGCATCACAAGCCACAGAAAGATGGGTGACAGCATGTGACTCTTGAACAACAAAATGTTAGAAGAAATAATGCCCTCATAGAATCCAAGGAATGGAGAAGGGCTCTTACCTGCCCATCTCCCTTCAGGTCTCCTTTCACCACACAAGAAGCTGGATTTCTGTACCTGTTGAATTATTTGGCTTCTTGGCAGCCACCCAGGTAGTCAAAATCCCATCAACCTGTATAGCATTGTATCACAACCCAATAGTGGAGAGATAGGGGTACCCTGCAATTAGAGTTTGTCCTAAACAAATGTCCAGAAAGTCTAGGCTTCCAGTTCAGATTCCCACCAGCCCAGGAAACTTAGGAAAGGAACCAGCAAAGATGTTGATGATGTCATCCACTGAAACAAGATGGTGATGTCATCCACTAAAGCAAGATGGTGATGTCGTCCATTAAAACTAGGAGGGAGGCAGAGGGTTCAGGATGGAGGAACTGGTTGCAGAATCTGGGGACTCAGCTTGTGCTGAACAACCATATGCATGGTCCTATGTGTACCTGATGTTTGCAAATTGTTCTCCAACATAATTACGATCCCATCAACAAGCTAGAATTCTAGTTGTGTCCTTGGGGTTTGTTTTGTTTGGGGAAGTTTTGCTTGTCTGTTTATGTGTATAAGTATTTTGCCTGCATGTACCAGTGTGCACCACATGTGTGTCTTGTGCTGACAGAGAGAAGAGGACTAGAACTAGAGTCCTATGTAGTTGGCAGTGAGTAGCCATGTGGGTGCTGGGAGCTGAACCCGGGACCTCTGCAAGAGCAGCCAGTGCTGTTAACCTCCAGCCATCTCTCGAGCCCCTGCTCCATATTTTTGTCAACAAATTGTTTCAATTGGCATTATTTAACTTATTATCAATGAAACTATCTTTTTCCTCACTGAATTAATTACCTTGCTGGGGCACTGGAATCCACTGGGAAAGATCAAAGACTTAGACTCAATTCAAATTTAGATTAATTGAATTTATTTTTAGTGCTATTTGGCTGCCTTAGAGCCAAACAGCATGCTGTGCCATAGGGGCTGGAGGAAGGGTTTATAGAAGCGGATGATATCAAAGGTGTGCATC